ACATTTCTGAAAAAACAAAACAAAACATTAAACCATCCTTTTACAGTACACATTTAAATGAATCCATCTGCTTAGAACTCTCCAATGCATACAGTATCTTTCTGTAACAATGCAGTTAAGTGAAATAAAGCAGTACCGAGGACTGAGAGAGTTTTGTCCAGCACATTGTACAATGCCCAGAAGTTGGGTGCCCAGTAGGCATGGCACAGTCCTCTCTTGAAGGGAAAGAGCCGAGAAAGCACTTGAGGCAGCTGACCCTTAAAAGAAAAGACAACCTGCTGTTATCAAACCTGACAACAAAAAATAAAATTCCACTATCTTCAACGTGTCAAATTATATCATGTCAACATATTTAGCAGAGTTAGAAATGACATGATCTATAATCTAGCAACATAAGTGAAATAATGCAGCTATAAAAAAGGGTTGTACCACTAATATATGTCTACCACCAATGGTATAAGTAACCAATTACAGGACTTTCAAAGCTGTATCTGCAGCTATAGTATACTCTGTACGCAGTAGAGAGTTACTCTCCATTCTTCCTAAGGTTAAAGGATCTGTACCCCATCAGTATAGTTTGGATGTAAAACAGTGTGAACACCAGATACTACTGGAAGATGCATTTAGCAAATGTGTTACACATCAGTATCCGCGGAAAGGAAATGAAGTGGATGAAAAAACTTAAAGAAATATGGTAAGAGATTGATGAAACACATTCAAATTTTGACTTTCTTTCTTGGATGATAAAAGAAAATTTTAAAATAAGCTCTCAATAATACAGGGTCACAGTAACATAGCAAACGTATTTCTTAAACAAAATATACACTAAGGAAACCAATTTAACAAGCAATGACTAATTTAACTAGCAGCTACACATCTGCTCTAAAAAGAACCTGATCAAGGAGAGTTTTGAACCTCCGAAAATGAAAGGGGGATTATATGTCCAACTTAACTTTAAGAGCAGAAAGAAATTTTTAAAATGTGCCTGGAAAAGACAACTGGAATCAACTAGCCTGTTATTAATAACAAGCTAAACCAAAAAACAACAACAATATATAAAGCACCCTTAGACCCAAAGAAGTCTGTACATTTTTTTGCACAAATGTCTCCACCTAGTGTTTAACAACAACAAAAGCACTACAGTAATGAGTCTAAAAAATTGGAGAAATCACTACATTAATTTTTATAGGCAGTGAACTTATTTTTTGGGTATTTTCATGAGAAATCTTTTGAGAGCTAAACCATTCAGTGTTCAAGTAATACTTCTTAAGAAAATATGGAAAATAATCAGTAATCAAAAGAAATCCAAATTAATGCTATATATCTCCGTTTTAGACATGATATTTCAAACATTGACACTGATAAATTAAATGTGATTTTCTACAAGTATTACACACATACACTTAGATTCAAAGCTACTACTACTACTACTACTACTACTACTACTACTACTAATAATAATAATTACCATAGCAATGAATGGGCCGAATGATAGAGCGAACACTGAGCACACAATTGTTCCCAAAACAGCTAATCGGGCAAAACTTAGGCTTCTCCATTTCACTGATCCATCTATAAAGAGAAATTAAGAACAAAATAAATATGCAATATACAAGAAAATGTATTTTCTGTTAAAAATTCTCTTCATTCTTACTGCACAATTTTATAACTGCTTCTGAAAGCCTGGACACTTGATGACTTTAGACAAGATGGTGTTGACCTGCCAATTATTTTAGCATCTTCCTTCAAGTAATCACTGTTATAATAATAATAATTGCTTACACTTATATAGCACTTCACTCCACTCAAAGCGCTTTACAGGTAAAGGGGACTCCTCTCCACCACCACCAATGGGCAACCCCACCTGGATGATGTGACGGCAGCCATAGTGTTCCAGAACGCTCACCACACATCAGCTATTAGTGGGGAGGAGAGCAGAGTAACGAAGCCAATGTATAGATGGGGATTATT